GGTTAGCCTTCAGCACTGCTCCACAAACCCACTGCATTGCCTTGGTAAGACTGTTCTCTACTCCCCAGAGGGGCTCACTCTACTTTCTTCTCAAACCTCCAAAACCACCCACTCTCCTCCATTCAAGTAGAAGCTTGGTAAGTAGTTTAGTAGTAGTAGCTTAGTAAGTAGCTAAGAAGATGGACACAGTCAATCAAATTCCTCGTCTTTCTGCTATGATCGACCAGCTTTTGTGGTGATATTCTAGGCCTTCCTTCTCCTCTGTGGGAGAGGGTTCCTGGTTCCTTTCAAAGGTCATACCCTCTTCTAGCCATCTGGATCACAACCTCTCTTGTTGTCTCGAGGACTTAGAACCTGCAATAATTCCCCTCTTCCCTGTACCATGAACTTCTCTTCATCTCTTATGGATTACTGCCACCAGCATACAAACATGCTTAGGATGGCAAGCTTTAAAAAAATCCCTCCCTTAACTTCATGTCCTACAACCACCACCCCCAAAACAGTACAAAGATCATCTGAGAAGTTGTCTACAGGCGCTGTGTCAACTTCCTCACCTTCCATTTGCTTCTCAACCTACTTCACCTGGAAGTCCACCCTAAATACCTCACTGAAGCCATTCCCAGCATGGTCATTAAAGACTTCCTCATCAGCAGTCCCAGTGGTCCCTGGCCAGCCCTCATCTTACTCACTTCTACTATCAATAGTTCCAGAGAGTCTGTCATCTTCTTTCGAAAACACTTCTAGTTCTTGATTTCTGCAGTGGATTCCTAGGACTGCTGTAACAAAGAACCACAAGTCGGGAGGCTAAAAACCACAGAAATTTATTCTCTCACAGTTCTGGAGACTTGGGAGTCCAAAATCAGGGTATCAGCAGGGCCATGTTCTGTCTGAAGGCTCCAAGAAAGAACCACTCATCACCTGTTCCAGCTTGGCATTTTCCAGAAATCCTTGGCATTCCTCGACTTAGAGATAACACATTACTCCAATCTCTGCCTGCTACAAATGGCCTTCTTATATCAGTCATTGATTCAGGGTTCACCATTATCCCATTATCCAATATGACCTTATCTGAATTAACTACTATATTTCCCAATATGGTCACATTCTGAGATTCCAGATGGACATGACTTGGGGCAGGCACTATTCAACTCAATATAACTTCTGTAACTGCACACTGCTGGTTTTCCTCCTTCCTCCTGGCTGCTCCTCCCCATTCTCCTTCTGGGGCTAGTTTGCTTCCTCTATCTCAGCAATGTTGTAGGTACCTAATAAAGCTTGGCTCAGGGCCCGTTGCCTTCTCTAAATACATTCTCTCCTGGAGGGATATCATCTAATCCCACAGTTTTAAAATTCCATTGATGCCTCCCAAATGTATGTTCTGGCCCTTACCTGTACCCATACTGATAATAGTAGTTAACACTTATTGAATACTTACTATGTGCCAGACCTGCTTGTAAGCTTGTAGTTAATCGTATATTAATTAATTAATCCTTACAACAAATTTGTGGCATATTATTTTATCCCCCATGAAGAAAGTGAAGCATAAGGAGGTTAAGTAAATTGTTCAAGCCCACATAAAAGGAGCCAGGATTTAAAACTTGGTAGGCAGGATCCATAGCTGTTTCTCTTGACTGCTATGTACTCTTGCTTTCCACTGAGCTCCAGGCTCATACAACATTCAACTTCAAACTTGACATCTGCTCCTACATGTCAAATATGCATCGTAGGCATGAACCAAATAGAATGCTTGACAACCCACCCCCCCCACCATTCCCATCTCTTTCTTTCCCTGCTTCCACATCTTAGTATATGGCACCAACCCCCAGTTGCTCAAATTAAAAAAAAAAAAAATCTGGAAATCAAATTTGATTTTGCTCTTTCCACATCCATCCCAGCCTCCATTCCCACCCACCCCCAACAAATCCAAGGAAGCCTATTTGCTTTACCTCTAGAATAGATCCCCAATCTGTCTGCTCCATTTTCACTACCACCATAGTTCCATCTCTCGAGTGACTGCAAGTATCTTCTACCTGGTCTTTCTGCTTCCACTTTTGCAGTCTGTATAACCAACACAACAGCCAAATGAGTTTTTTGAAACATAAATCAGAACATGACATGCCCAAGTTTCAAAGAGTCCAAAATGCCAGCTTATATTGAGAGCAAAATGCACACTCCTGTTCTTAGACTACAGGTCCCTGCTTGATCCAGCACTGTCTGCCTCTCTACCCTGACTCCTACCACTCCCTTTCTTGCTTACACAGCTCCAGTCATGATCTCACCCCTGCATTCCCAGGAGTACTTTACGCCTGTACCAGGCACTTTGCACCTGTTCGCCTTCACTCCAGAAATACTGTTGAAAATGCTGCACCGTCACATCTTCCCATGAGCTCAAACATCACCTCAAACATCACTCAAGAAGTTCTCAACCTAAATCCTGACCTAATGTTATGCCCAGTCACTTTCTAACATGCTATCCTATGTTTCTGTTTTAAAAGCATTCACTACTATTTGGAAATACCTTAATTATGTATTTGGTTATTTGAACAAAGACTTTCTCCATCTTCTATTTGCCTCTAACACCACAAATTGTCTAATACATAGCAACTGTTTAATATATATATTTTAAAAGGAAGAATGAAAGAAACTGAGTTAGTAGACAAGTAAGGTCAATCACAGAAAGTTTTTTGAAGGTGAGTTTTAAGGCATAGTTTGAAAGAAGAAAAGCTGATTAACTATTAAAGAGGAGAGATAATAATTTTAGCAAGGAAAACAAAATAGTGATGGTAGTCTTGAATAAGTGACAAACAGAGGCTATAACTAGACTATGACATGGAAAGTTGGTCAATAGAGAAGTAAAATTAGCTTATCAAAGCAAGGATTTAACATCATTTGGTTAAACATACTGAATACCAACCTAAGGGGTTTACGTTTATTTATGACTTCAACAAATATTGAATTTCTACTGTGTTAGGTACTATTCTATGTATTTTTAATACAATAATAAATAAGAGACATGATCTCTGCCCTCACAGTGTTTATAATCTAGTATAACCCTGACATCAAATATTAGTATTCCGTGAACTTTTGGAATTGCCAAACAAACTGCCAAAGTGTGGCCTGAAACCACAGATAGTACTTAACCCTATATATACTATGTTTTTCTTATACACACATACATATGATAAGATTTGATTTATAAATTAGGCACAGTAAGAAATGAGCAACAACAATAATGAAATAGAACAAGGTTAATATTTTTGTAACATTAATCAATGTGTTTTTTATCCCTAGTACTATCTGTTTCCCTTTGGCCCTTTCCCATTCATTCAGCCCAGTATTCTGTATGTAATGACTCAAAAAAGATATAACACAGTGGAATACAATACATAACTAACAGGAATCTTGTCCTAGCTCTTGAGTTTCAAAATCTAGGTCTCAGAAGGCACAGAACACGGGATGAACAGCAATTTAGGAAAATACCTGATGAGTTAGAAAGGCTTCTGGGTCTACAGACTAGAAATATTTCCAAAGACTGGAGGAGAGGTAGGTCAGAAGGAAAGTCATTAGAGCTTAGGTGCTATTGGATCTCAGGAAAAGGGAGCCTCAATCCTATCTCCTTGCCCATGTCATACTTCATTGAGTGACAGAAATCCAAGATAGGTTTCTGGCACATGAGAGTGGAGAAGAACAATGCTCCCCTTCTCAGAAAGTTGACCTTCAGAGAAGAAATGGCTTTGTGATAGGTCTAAGCACCTGACCTTTAGAGCCCCACAGAATCACCTGTGCTTCCCATTGGTGCAGAAACCCAAAGCGATCTAAAAGGAGTAATATTCAAAAGAAGCATTGCATTGTTTTGTTGACAGCAACTCTGTTATTTTCTGATGACTAATTCTCTAATTCTCTGATATTCACTGGGCATCCAACAATCCATCTCAAGTTTGATACAAACTACCTAGAGTTAGCCAGACTCACAAGTTGAGAGCTCAGTCCCACAAAAATGACCCTACTTCACATGCCTGCCACAAATGGTGTCCCCAAGCTACTTGCACCTGTCCTGTTTGGGAGTTCCCATGAACCCTCCCCACCCAGGTTTGGTAATTCACTGGAATGAATGACTCAAGGAACTCAGGAAAGTGCTACAGTAGTCCCCCTTATCCATGGGGGATACTTTTCAAGACACCCAGGGAAGGCCTGAAACCACAGATAGTACTTAACCCTATATATACTATGTTTTTCTTATACACACATACCTATGATAAGATTTGATTTACAAATTAGGCACAGTAAGAAATGAGCAACAATAATGAAATAGAACAATTATTACCATATACTGTAAACAAGTTATATAAATGTGGTTTCTTTCTCAAAATATGTTATTGTACTATATTCACCAATCTTCTTGTGATCATGTGATATGAAAACATGTCTACGTGATGAGATGGAGTGGGGTGAAGGACATAGGCATTGTGATATAGCATTAGGCTACTACCATCTTGATGATTCATCAGAAGGAAGACCATCTGCTTTCAGACTGTGGTTACCACCAGAGATGACAACAGGTATCTGAAGCCGCAAAAAGTAAAATCACAGATAAGGGGGGAACTATTGTGTACTTACCATTACAGTTTTATTATAAAGGATGTAACTCAGAAACAGCTAAATGAAAGGGATGCATAGGGCAAGGAGTGGGGAGTGGTACACAGAGCTTCTATGTCCTCTCCAGGCTTGCCACCCTCCTAGCACAACGATGTGCTTACCGACCTGCAAGATCCCCAAACCTTGTTGTTCTAGAGATTTTACTGAAGTTTAATGATGAGGCATGACTGATTAAATCACTGGGCATTGGTGATTGAACTCAAATCTCCAGCCCCTCTCCTCCCACCAGGGTTGGGGCTGCAGCAGAAATTTCCAACCTTCTAATCATGTAGTTGATTCCTCTGGTAAACAGCCCCCATCCTGGAGCTATCTAAAGGCCAAGAATCATCTCATTAGAATAAATTCAGGTATGGTGGAAAGGGGCTTGTTATGAATGACAAAAGACACTAAATACTATCAGGAAATTTCTAGAGTTTTAGGAGCACTGTGCCAGGAACCAGAAACAAAGACCAAATATATATACTTTTATTTATCATAGCACACATTGGTTGTTAGAAGGATTTTCAAAGAATTTTCCATAGCTCAGCAAGGTGCAGGAGCAGCAGAATGGATAGTCTCAGGTCTATGGGGTATTTGGAAGGAGCAAGGCAGAGCTGCTCCTGTGAAACTGAGGGGACGAGGGACTTCACAGCAGAGATTAGCTTGAATGGATGGCTGTCAGAGACTAGATTCCTCTTCCCTAATGTCATGGCACTTAATAAGCTCCCAGGAACCTAGATAAAACCCCAGGAAGAAAAGGAGGGGTGAGTACTGACTCAAATAATTGTTTTTAATTCCTGGTTGAATGAAGAGTCAAATTATTGATTAAGGTGAGCTATATATATATATATAAAGTAAGAGTTTTTGCGTACCTGAGTTTGTAGATTGGAATCTAATCCTGTGACTAAATACAAGTGAACAAAACTACAGGAGATAGGTAAAATCCTATTTAAATATCAAAAAGAGCTGAGCCTGGCATGCTAGGAAGAATAAGAATTTAGAAATAATTTAATTTAGAAAACAATTTAAGAGATTAAATGAATCCAATCATTAAGTGAAAACAACCTAGGTGAAGGGCTATAGATTCAAATTTGACAAGAATTAGAGAAGTGCACATGGGACCCTTGCTGGCTATGGAATCCCTGTTACTGTGAACTCAGACAGGCCTTGGCGTGTTGGGAGAACACAAAGTCCTGAGTTCCAGCCAAATCATGGGTCAAAGTATCTCCAGTGCCCTCCTCCTCAAAAGATAACCCTAAATTGTGTGTTATAGTATAACTGTCTGCTTCATATGTCCGTTTTAATTCCAGCAAGATTTAGAATTGAGATTAAAGATAATGGGATAAATGAAGATGACTGATTAATTCATACCCATTGTATTTGTATATCTGTGGTAAGTAGAGGAATAATAGGGGTATGCTTACTATTTGGAATACTTGTTGTGTTTTAGAGAATTTAGTATATTAATGAATCAAACAATGTGGTTTCAATTTATACTATGTAATTGAACAGTTGATTAGACTTGTGATTTTTAAGTTCAGTTAATAAGAAAATTTTATTAAAGACAGCACTGGAATGTTTAAGAGAACCTAATATTTGCCATATCTATGTGTTTAATATATTACAGTTACTTAAGGTATTTTTGTTAGGCACTGAATGTCTTCAAGTAAAAACAATTACATTAAATTTATAAATGTAATTTAGACGTTTGAGAAACTTAAGTTTGTAACTGGGCTTACACATTAATCAAGTCCCTCTTAAAAGCAAATGTTAATAATATATAACCTTGTCAAATCACTAAGTCGTACACCTGAAACTAATGTAATACTATGTATTGGCTATTAAAATTTTTTTTAATAAAGGGGAATGTTAAAAGTCTTATTTACTTATAAATAGAATGATGTCATTTTAATTTGGAATTTAAAAGCTTATAGATGAATAGATTTTTGATCTTATAACCTTAAGGAGAATATTAATTATTAAAACCAAACTAATCGGGGCACCTGGGTGGCTCAGTGGGTTAGAGCCTCTGCCTTTGGCTCAGGTCATGATCCCAGGGTACTGGGATCTAGCCCTGCCTCGGGCTCTCTGCTCGGCAGGGAGCCTGCTTCCTCCTCTCTCTCTGCATGGCTCTCTGCCTACTTGTGATCTCTGTCTGTCAAATAAATAAATAAAATCTTAAAAAAAAAAACTAATCATATATAAACTTTTCGGGACATAACTGCCATTGACACCAAAAAACTCATACTGACAGTACCCACTCTAGTGTCTTGAAAGAGAAAGAATATGGTGTCATGGAAGAGACTAATAGAAAAAAAAAAAAATCCAAGATTGTGTTTTATTTTATTTTTAAAGATTTTATTTTTAAGAAATCTCTATACCCAACATCGGGCTTCAACTCACAACCCTGAGATCAACAGTCACAGGCTCCACTGACTGAGCTAGCCAGGCGCCCCTGCATTCATTTTAACTTACATGTAAGAACAGACAACAGTTGGGGCACCTGGGTGGCTCAGTGGGTTGAGCCGCTGCCTTCGGCTCAGGTCATGATCTCAGGGTCCTGGGATCGAGTCCCGCATCGGCCTTTCTGCTCAGCAGGGAGCCTGCTTCCCTCTCTCTCTGCCTGCCTCTCCGTCTACTTGTGATCTCTCTCTGTCAAATAAATAAATAAAATCTTAAAAAAAAAAAAAAAGAACAGACAACAGTAAACTACAAAGCCTTCTTTTGTGAAAATAAATTATTCATATTTTTAATAAATAGTCTTTGTCTAGAAGAAAAAGGAGACTAATTGAAGGGACTTAATTTAGATTAGGGCTTCAAGGAAGGCTTCCCTTAGAAAGTGTCTCAAGAGCAGAGACTTCAGAAAAAGGAATTGCCATGGGAAGATCAAGGAGAGGAGAGTTCCAGGTGGGGCCCTGGGAAAGGCCTGATGTGCTGGAACAGAATAGACGGAGCTGGATTGAGAGGGGCTTTAGGTCAGATCATATAGCTCCTCAGAGGCCACGTTACACCATCTATTACACAAATACAAGTATTACACAATCCCAGAAGATAAGAAAACCCACCAAGGATTTTAAGCAGAGGCCAGAGGTGCTAAGTAAAGCTGAGTGTATAGCCTGGGGGCTACAGAACTTCACAGAACACAGCTGGCAGAGTCCCTGGTTTGGCACAACACTGCCTCCCTCCAGGTGACGTAATCAAATAAGGCGTTTTAAAAGATCACTCTGGGTGCTGTTTGGAGAAGAATTTTATGGCCAGAGTGGGGGGAGGGGTCATCTAAATGGCTAATGCAGTCTTCAGTCAAGTGGCCTGCATAGGACTTGTGATAGAGAAAAGTGAACAGACCATATTTGCAGTTTCCACAATCAGCATTAGATGTCCAGGCAGATTCCTGAATTTGAGAGTAGCCTGATTTAAATGGTGCTCAAGAAAAATTAATCTCCAGACAGTGGTGAGCTGGAATGGACCTGTAGCGGCTTGCACTGGCTCGTGAAAGCTGAATGTTTGCACCTTTCTCCAACTTTTCATTCAATGACATTAAGTTGGTAGCTTGAAATCTGCCTTGGTGGGAGTGTTTACACCATGGAAACTGGCAAGTGCTACAAACAGAGCTTCTTTCCCCAAAAAGCCAGTTGTGATATGTTTACTAGAACACCACTGCTTCCAGCTTTTTAAAAATATTTCAACACTAAAGAATCACTACATAAAATTTGGTAAGAAGTGTATAGCCTGGGGGCTACAGAACTTCACAGAACACAGCTGGCAGAGTCCCTGGTTTGGCACAACACTGCCTCCCTCCAGGTGACATTCATAAGGCTGCTGTAGTTAAAATACATGGGATAGTTATGAGGGACACTGGGAGAAAAAAATCTCTAAGACTTGGTGGTTTCTTAATGGCAGCAATAGGGAAAGAGAAGCAGATTGTATTTTCTCCCGTGGAGAAAGGAGTCATTTCCAAGCACATCTCTTTGGAGAAGATTGCAAAGAGAATAGTTCAAAATTTGGTTCCCTGACATGTGTATTTTAAATTTCCCTGCTTCAGCTGTCAAGGATTTCAAGTGTCTCTTTAAAATTCCACCTTATTGTAGCTCAGAATTCTGAATTCTATCACCATTTACTGGTATAGTTAAATGAATGGAATAATAATTATATCCCAAACTTTCAGTCATTGAGCATAACTGTCTTGCTAAAACAAAAGCTCTATAGAGATCTAGAGAACATTCTTTAAAACTCAAAAATGTCCTCCAATTTATGAATGTTGCAGAATCAAGGCAGCCTGTGTGAAGTCTGACCCAGGCCTTAAAAAGATATGTGGAAAGTTCATATAGGGTTTTTAAAAGGCATCAGGAAAGGAAGTGGAAGAAGATACTAAGATACTAAGAGATTGCTCCAAACATTTTTTTTCCATGAAAATAAGTGTTCTGTAGAATTTATAACTTGTGTCCTAAGAATAATACTAAACACCCTTTATTGTCAGCTTGTACATCTAATAGTTTAGAAACACTAAATGTGTTAATAATATAAAAAGTAAAACATAAAAAATGGTTTCATTTTCTCATTCTTTCAGTAAGCCTCTATTGAAGGCATACTAAGTGACAAGTATTTCCTTAGATCTTGGAGATATAAATAAGTAAGACTGTCTTGGTTCTGTGCATAATAACCAAGGAAGACAGAGTCATGAACAGATTAGAGTACAATGTGAACAATGCAGGAGTTCAGTATTTAGAAGATATTATGGAAGCCCAAGAAGGGGCATAGGACTCAGATTTGAGTGAGCAGAGGTAGCCTTCTGGATAAGGTGACACTGAACTTAAAGAGTAGGGGGAAACCAGATGAAGTGTGTATATGGATGGGGGAATTTCAGGCAGAGGAGAGAGCATGATAAAAACCAGAGAAATGAGAAATAGCAAAGCAATCTTCAGATCCTTACTGGAAAGGCAGAAGGGAATAAGGAGAAGAGGCTGGAGACCTCCAGGTTCTCAATGACATACTAAAGAGAAGGCAACTAGAATGGTCCATCCTGGGTGGACCGAAAGACAAAAATGGGGTGATTTGTCTATGGAATATCTGAAAACAATAATAAGAATGACTACATCGCCAACAATTCTAAACAAGATAAAATAGCCCGTCAAGTGGCCACTCCCCTGGGTAGACCACTGCATGTTCTTCCTCAAGTTATAGAGCAAAGGAATTACATGGTCAGATTCCTGAGCTGTGCAGGTACAGAAACACCAGCTGCAGTTATATTTAAGTAAGAAATCCTTTCTTTGCATCCCCATTCCCTATCTCCAACAAATAGTTCCATTGAACACCCTCAGAGCACTAAGCACTTTTCCTTAATAACCTCATCGTTTAAAATCATATCCAAGTGAGAGAGGGTGGGGAGAGAGAGAGAGAATATGCAGGACAAAGACAGAAAGAAGTTGAGTTTTTATTGGCTTGTGGGAGATCAAGAAGAGATATATAACAACTGGACATTGATTTTGGGCTGGAACTGTACGTTCAGGAGTCAGCATAGAAGTAGTAGTTAAATCTCTGGGAGTGGAAGAGGAACCTGGAAAAACAGAGTGATGGTGGGCCAATGATGTAATACTAGGAAGCGGAGTATTTCATGGACAGAAGACAGAATGAAAGTCTAAGAAAGAGACACTGAAGGGATGCTCAGAAGCGTAAGACAAATCTAGAAAGCACAAAATTGTGACAAGACTTCCCAGGGCCAAGGGGCAGGGGAGAA